GACACAGGGGACACCGTCTTAAAGGGGCCGTGTCCCCAACAAGTCTGGGGACACGGCCTTAAAGGGGCAGTGTCCCAATCTTCCTGATGTCCCAAAAAAGGTGTTTAAAGGGCCAGCACCAGTCACATAAAGAGTCCATAAGCCCCAATATGCCCACCGACAGTCTTAAAGGGCCATACACACCAAATAAAAGTGCATACATTTTCACAATCTCCCAGGGGCCATAGTCATGCGGGAGGAGGCTGGCAAATAGGCTTCTCCACAACCCAGGGAAGCAGGGCAATTTGCCATTTAAAGGGCCGTTACAAATAGCAGTTTGTAACAAGGTGTCAATCCATATCTGCCAAGTGACCCGATGTAGGGGGACCAGTCCCTATTCTGCTCTGTGTCAGTGTGTACCAGGGAACCTTAGGACAGGTGTCAATCCATATCTGCCAAGTGACCCGATGTAGGGGGAACAGTCCCTATTCTGCTCTGTGTCAGTGTGTATCAGGGATCCTTAGGACAGGTGTCAATCCATATCTGCCAAGTGACCCTATGTAGGGGGACCAGTCTCTATTCTGCTCTGTGTCCGTGTGCATCAGGGGCTCTGAGGACAGGTGTCAATCCATATGTCAAGGTGTCAATATGTCATATGTCAGGTGTCAATCCATATTGATTGTGATTTAGGAATGTTAGGTGATTTCTGCCCTTTATGGATTAAAACCAGACTCTGTATCAACTGTGTAATTTTCCATGGGAGTTTTGCCATGGATCCCCCTCCGGCATGCCACAGTCCAGGTGTTAGTCCCCTTGAAACAACTTTTCCATCCCTATTGTGGCCAGAAAGAGTCCCTGTGTGTTTTAAAATTCGCCTCCCCATTGAAGTCAATGGCGTTTCGGGCGGTTCGCCGGTTCGCGAACATTTGCGGAAGTTCAAAGAAACTGCTATGTTTACATTTGGGGTTAATTCAGCCTCTAGATAAAGGTAAGCTGCTGAAGGGTTTTAAACCCTTCAGTGCCACGGGAGGGGGACCTTGAGGGTGGGGGCACCATCAGGGCACTATAGTATCAGGAAAACCGCTTTGTTTTCCTGACACTATAGTGATCCTAATCTGAAATGGCCACTGTATATACTCCTCTATCCAAACTCTCACCTCCAATAACACTAGCCAATCCCCCACACCACACCCCTTCTATGCCTGTCTCCTAGCCATGTCAAGGCCCATTCCCCTTAGCTGTGATGCTCCATGAGTTACACTGTGGTGTGTGTAGTGGATGCAGACTGTGTGTTTGTATGGTGAATGCAGCTTGTATGTTTGTGTAATGCAGTGTGTGTGTAGAGGATGCACTGTGAAGTTGATGCAGAGTGTGTTTGTGTAGTGGATGTAGTGTGTGTAGTGGATGCACAGTGTGTTTGTGTAGTGGATGTAATGTGTGGTGGATGCAGTGTATAGTAAATACAGAGTGTATTTGTGTGGTGGATGCAGTGTGTATAGTGAATACAGAGTGTTTATTTATGTAGTGGATGCAGTATGTGTAAATATGTGGGGCAGGGTCTGCTTTCTGTGCAGAAAAAAAAAGCTATTTTTTAATTTTTGCACATACTTATATGTAAGAGTGTGATACACAGGGTATACATTAAATACCTAATTATAGCTGATTGAAATCCAGATTGCAACATTGAGGCTAAGGTAGCCAGGCTGTGACTACAACTGAGTTGCCCAATTGTGCCATTTAAATTTCAGTTCATTACATTTCATAGTATATTGAATGCATGCCATATTCTATAAAGGAGGAAGGGTGAATAAACTTGACTAGACTTAGGGTAGCAAAACAACAGTAAAGATATTTTCAGTGTGCATATGTGAATGTTGTTATGGGTTCATATTTGCCTACAATTGCTAATTTATATATGCACTTGTGTATATATTTAGATGTGTCTGCAACATCCAGTCAAAGGAACATTCCAAGCCCAATAACCTCTACAGCATGCCGCAGTGGTTAAGGTGACAGGAATGCCCTGGTGCCCCCGTTGTAATTATGTTTTTTTTTAGAATGGTTTGACTTATGAACTGAGATCTGCTTCTGCCTCTATTATCTCAGCCATAAAGCCAGAATCTCTCTGGCTGAAAGCGATCAACTATCGCTCTTTGGCAATGAGCTAACCATGCACTGCAGGGCTTTGCTTAGGAAAGCTAACATAAGCTCCTGAGTGTGAGATTCCTGCTTTCTGGCTGAGGTAGTTAAGGTGGAGAGCAGTACCTCAAGCTATTCTAACTTTGCTTTAACTTCCTAAAATGCGCACTTGTGGCAATGTAACCACTATAGCGCTTTGCAGTGGTTATAATGTTTGGAGTGTTCCTTTAATATAACTGGATCCATCAAACCTTTCAGCTCCAGGCCCAAGTTACCCTTAACCCCTTAAGGACTAAACTTCTGGAATAAAAGGGAATCATGACATGTGAAACAAGTCATGTGTCCTTAAGGGGTTAATCTAGCACTGAATGATGGGGAACAATTAGAAGAAGAAAAGCAAAGATACCCTGTTTGAAGATACTGAGTTTCAGAACATAGATAGTCAACCAGATGCAGACACAATTAATGACACATTGCTAAAAGACAGAAGATAGATCAGAGTTGTAAACATGGGTGTAATCAGGATATAATGGTGCTGAAATCTAAATAATTTAATAAGGTTGCTTAGAGAGGCATTATAAAGAACAAACAGGAGAGGGCTAAGGTTGGCTGAGTAGTAGATGTGTAGTGAGCAGGAGGCAGTTTTAGAAAAGTAGATACTCAAGGATTATTAGAGGAAGCATTATGAGATGAAGGATGAAACTAGGAATGGATGGTGTCACAAAGGCCAGGGTTTGAAGTATTTCAAGAAAGGGTCTGTGGTCAACATAAACAAAAGCAGCAGAGAGATTTGAGTAGCACGAATATTATATGTAATTATAACAATTGGATTTAGAGGCAAGTATATATTCTGTTAAATTTAAAGAGAGAGCATAAACAAGCCCGAAGAGGCTCAAAGAGACCTGATTTATATTGCTACTTAGCAACATCACATCCTTCATATACCTGTCCAGCTACAAAAATTAATTACCTTTAGCAAGTGTGTAAGCAAATGCATCTCGCAATTGGACATCCTCAGTAGATAAAGAATCAAGAGTAGGACAATAAAATCTAAACATTATAAGACAAATCATGTATGACACCTGCAATACAATGCACATAAAAATCTTGATAACCATTTAATTATTCTGAATGCATTTTGCTTTACTTAGTAAATGGTTGCTATAAATCATTAGTGATATTATCTTTTAAACAGTATGATAGTCTTTTATTCATTACCATTTCAGGAAATCTAAAATATTATTGTGTGAGCGACAAAAAATGTGTGTCATATATATTAGGTGTGATCACAGAGAAATAAAAATGACCAAAAACTCTGCATTTTGGTATTTGTAACCAGATATCAATTTTTAGAACACGCTAATCCAAATCTACCTTCATAGTACTATAACAGACTTGGTTATAAAGATGTTAAATACTGCATTTGCTTTTTATGCTTTTCATTCTGGAACATGAAGAGTTACACATAATGTACAGTAAGTGTTGACTGATACTGCCACAACCATGATTGTCAAGTGAGCATTATTTTGTATACAGCTACCGCATGAAAAGAGTATCGTGGCAACAGTACAAAGCTGCTTGTGACCTGATTGCACTACCATGCCTGTTAAAGTGACCTCCTACCAGAAGGAAATTTCCCATGGGAAAAGCTAATGCATGAGAAAATCTCATGAAACATGTATGTTTCTACATGTATTCCAAGATTATTTACTTCTCCCAGAAGGTCAGCCAACCATATGTTTCTACTGATAAACTAGATTTTAACACCTTAACTACTGAGTTTTAAGAAAAGAAAAACTCATAATATTTATTTGAATTATGAAATATATGACTAGCCAATCAAGCATGAACAGATCATGCATTTTATTTATAGACTGCTGCTAAGTGGTAGCTAAAAATTCAGTTATGCATTTCTTTTTTCCCAGCTTATTTCTTTGGAGGTTTATTTTGTTTTTTCATACTTTGACATAATGTTGGGGTTTATACACAACTTTGTATATTTTTTAAACATTTCTAGTAAATATTATATTGAAAAAAAAAGAAAAAATATAAATGGGTATAATAAAGTAATATGTGTTACAAATGAAAATCTGTTATTTTTTCCAATAGTATAATAAGAACAATTAGAGTAAAAGCATCTACAATAAAATTATTTGTCTGTATTCCCTCTATTCTAAAGCTATGTGGTTTATGTTGGCATTATATAAAACCAAATATTATGATAAGAATATAAAATGTTAAGCTAATGAATCTCCGGTGTTTTTTGAGGGAATGAAAATGTGTAAAATGTCATCAGAATGCCAGTATAGTATGATATGTACAGTGGGCATAATAATAGTTACATTAAACATAGGGCCTAACTAAAAACAAAACAAAAAAAGATCTATTTTAAAAAGCATGTCATGTTGTAAATGAGGTCTGCACATATTTCCCCAAAGTGTTCCTATTTAAAAGTAGTAGCCATTTTGAGGTTTTTAAGGTGCTTTTCTATATAGTCCCTCCAAGTAAGTCAAAGGGACTGACTTTTACCCCAGTGAGCATTATATGGTTATTTCATTATATTTGTACTACCAATAAAGGACTGGGCATCTTTTAGATTGACTGAAACCCCTTCTGTACTTGGGAAGGGCATGGAAGGAACTATTAGGAAACCAGTGAACCAAAGATCCCTTTAATACTGGGCCAGTTGCATCTGTATGGGTTTGGGAACCACGTGATCTATACTTTCATAAAAATACATTCATAGATATTAATATATATAAGAAAAAAGAAAAGTAATCAGACATACAAAGTATGCTGAGGCCAAAGAGTGGGTTGATTAAATGGTAGTCTAAACTGTGTGTAACCCTAATTAAATCATTTTGAACAGATGAAAGGAGAACCCTAAAAGGAATCAAGTCTCACTAGATTACCATATGTGTAAAGCACTTCTTTGAAGTAAATTTTGTTTACCTGAAAGAAGTGCTTTACACATATGGTAATCTAGTGAGACTTGATCCCTTTTAGGGTTCTCCTTTTATCTGTTAAAATAAATAAATAAATAAATAAATAAAAATATATATATATATATATATTTAAATAAACATGTGTATTAAATATAGCTATTTTGCCTTATAAATCCAGATAACAGTGTTATAGTATTAAAGGGATAAATCATTTCCACATCATCATATTGATAAAGCATTGTAACGCAAACAAATATTTCAACTATCAATTAAAATATATGTTAAAATTACATAAAATCCCTCACCTTTAAACCTACTAAAACTGTTGCAAATCTCCAGGCAGGCAGCACCAATAGCAAGATATGCCCCTCATTGTGTTAAATTGAGGGGAGGGAGGGGCCAGTGTATTAAATTGGGGAGAGGGAGAACAGTGTATTAAATTAGAGTTGTGGGAGTGTGGGCTGTGTATTCAATTAGAGTGGAGGCAGGGAGGGGCAGTGTATTAGATTGGATCAAGGGGGCATTGTATTAGATTGGATTTGGGGAAATGTATTGGATTTGTGGGTGGTGTATTAGAATGGGGGGAGGGGCAATGTATTAAATTGGGTCTGCATGGAGACGCTGAACACTCCCCATGGAGATGCTGATTTGCTGTGCAACATTTTGCCACACATGCACAATAGCCTCCCAATGCTTTCCTGTTGGAAAGCATTGGATTGGCTGAGATCATCAAGTTTGATGATCTCAGCCAAAGTGAAGAACACACTCATAGGACTTCAAAATCAACAAGATAATGTCATTTGATTTTTACAGCTGTGCAACAGCATACATTCACCATTTCCGTCCCATTACAAAACGTTTCTTTACATGTCAAGGTAGTTTGATTGAAACATTGGTAATAAGCAAATGCACGTCTTCTTAACCCCTTAAAGGACAATTCTAAGCACCCAGACCACTTCAGCTTAATGAAGTGGTCTGGGTGCCAGGTCCAGCTAGGGTTATCCCATTTTTTTTTATAAACATAGCAGTTTCAGAGAATGTGTATAAACCGAATAAATTATATTTTATCCTATAACATTCCAAAACGCCATAAAACCTATACATGGGGGTACTGTTTTACTCATGAGACATGGCTGAATACACTTATGTGTACTTTATTGCAGTAACAGCTAACAGTATTATGACATTCACAGTTAAAATTTCTTTTTTTATTTTATTCATATTAAATTATGTTTCATATTAATATTTGCTATGAAATGAAAGCCCTGTTTCTCCTGTACATATTGACATATAATAAATTTGGGTGCATTTAATATGAAAGGGGAATTATGGTTGAACAGGCATATAGTGCAAATTCAAAGTTTTGTTTACATTTTGTTTTGATCTGAACTTGTACAACTGCCTCAGTCCTTAAAGGGACACTCCAGGCACCCAGACCACTTCTGCCCATTGGAGTGGTCTGGGTGCCAACTCCCACTACCCTTAACCCTGCAACTGTAATTATTGCAGTTTTCATAAACTGCAATATTACTTTGCAGGGTTAAGTCCTCCCCTAGCCACTAGAGGGCACTTCCTGGTCCTTAACACAGGTTTTCTGTGCTATAGCGTCGCTGGGCGTCGTCACGCTGTGTGAGGACCTCCATCGTCACTAAAATCCCCATAGGAAAGCATTGAAAAGCATTTTCAATGCTTTCCTATGGAGAGGTCTAATGCGCATGCGTGGCATTGCCGCACATGCGCATAAGGTCTCCCCAGCCGGCTGACATGATGAAGGGGAGGAGCAGCGGTGGAGGAAGAAGCAGCGTCGAGGGACATCGTCGCTGCCTTTGGTAAGTGACTGAAGGGATTTTCACTCCTTCAGCAACCAAGGATGGGAGGGAGAGTTAGGCAACTTTTTTATACTGTACTTTTCTAAATGAAACTATGTTTCTATTAAAACTGACATTTTTGTTTTTTTTTGCGGCCCACATAAACATATACCTTGTTTATTTGGCACGTGCTAGCCTTTGAGTTTGACATGCTTGTCTACTGCTCCTCCTCTTATTCCCTATATTAATTATTTTTTTTTTTATTTAATTGTGAAGCAAATGGTGGGGGAATGCACCTATCAATAGATAAATAATATAACTATTTTTTGAGAATTCACCTTAGGATGTTTTCATCCTTCCTTCCATAAATACATATTAAAATATATGTTTTGTCGAAAAAGATATCTTATCGCAATGCAGTAAAATCAAAATGAAATGATTTTGTTCATGAAGGGATAAAACAACAAGTCAGTAATTTGCAGCGTATCAAAGAGCCACACATCAGTAAAATGTACACTAATATATGTTGCTTATGAATTGGTCACAGAATACCTCACCATTTCAACTTGCAGTAATTGTGAGATGTGTATTAAAATTTTGCAGAATCCCGCAACAATAAATATTACAATTCATAAGTGTGTCACACATTAATTCAAATGTTTCCTTTCCATCCCTCATGTGCCACAAAATAACATTTATAAAGGCTTATTGGTTTCCTAGGAGTTACGAACTTATATGTTCAACTGGTGAACAACAAAACAGAGAAGCATCTCTATCACTCTGGGGCTGTGCAAAGCCAAATAATTTTATCTCCATGTTATTGATCAATCTTCTGGTACTCATATTAGACTAGTACTGAGAACAGATTGAAATCCTAATTGTAATCAGGAAGGAAGTAATCCGCACTCATCTAATATAAATGAAATCAGGTGCACAGCTGCCCCTGAGCCTGGCAAACCCCATACATCAGAGTAAAAAATACAAAAGGTAGCAGATTTATTTGGAGAGTCAAAACATAACAATTTGACTTCCAATAAGGTTTTTATAATTCCTATCAATGGGTTTGGTTTACTCGATGCTGAATTACATAAGATGAGTTGTACTCTAAACTCAGAAAAAGTGTCACATACTAGAATGACTTGTTCAATTATCTAATTTCTGAATATTACACAGCACTTTCAGAGATGGTTTGTTATAAAAACTTAAAATGCTTCCAGGTCCACTGCAACTTATATAAAAAAATAAACATTTGAGGCTCACGAGACCACAGCATGACACAAGAGATTTAAATGGTTATCACACTTACTCATGCTACACGATGAATAGGAATTAAAAGACTTTATGGATTTTGGTAAGTGACCCCTGTCACGAAAGCACCCTACTTCAAGAGTGTGTGTGACGTAGTTGTGGTGGTGCAAGGGTTACAGTTCACTATTTGTCTGCACTAGACCGGAAATAATGATAAAAATCCCCCTTAACATAACCCACACTTAAGCATAATAATATAAATATTACTATTTTAACGCTGCCTCTACCAAGACAATTTATAAATGGGGTGCCTTGGTCCTCCAGGTAACTTAATAATAAAAACCCACCAAATACAACTTAGCACAATAATTGCAAAACACTAATTAGTCTCTTCAGGTAACATGATTCTTAAAGGACCACTATAGTGCCAGGAAAACATACTCGTTTTCCTGGCACTATAGTGCCCTGAGGGTGCCCCCACCCTCAGGGACCCCCTCCCGCCCGGCTCTGGAAGGGGGAAAGGGGTTTAAACTTACCTTTTTCCAGCGCTGGGCGGAGAGCTCTCCTCCTTCTCTCCGCCTCCGTTACGCCCCGCCGGCTGAATGCGCACGCGCGGCAAGAGCTGCGCGCGCATTCAGCCGGTCACATAGGAAAGCATTCATAATGCTTTCCTATGGGCGCTGGCGTGCTCTCACTGTGAAAATCACAGTGAGAAGCACGCAAGCGCCTCTAGTGGCTGTCAATGAGACAGCCACTAGAGGATTAGGGGGAAGGCTTAACCCATTCATAATTATAGCAGTTTCTCTGAAACTGCTATAATTATGAAAAAATGGGTTAACCCTAGAAGGACCTGGCACCCAGACCACTTCATTAAGCTGAAGTGGTCTGGGTGCCTAGAGTGGTCCTTTAACCAGACAAAGGCAGAACTTAATAACGGAATATTTATTATGAGCAAAAATTGTTATAGTGCATACACAAAATAGATGATTCAAAAATAGATGAACAAATGATTTACAACAAAAACAGATAAAAACAAAAGGGATAAAATAACAGAAGCCCTAATCACTTACTCAGTGTTACAAAAGTAAACTCGTCACTGGCTTTTGGAGGGGCCTGTTTGCCAGCCTCCTACCCTGTGATTATGGCCCTGTGACGAACTGAACCTTGTCACAGGTTCTTGGAAGGGCCTGCTGGCTAGCCTCTTGCCTCAGGACTATGGGCCCTGCAATATACCTTGCCCAATGCACTTTAAGGCTCTGTTCATGTGAAGTATGAATAGAGCCAACATATCCAAAAATCACCAGATCAGTTCAGGAGTTCAGAAATTTTCTGGAAGTCTCATTTTTAATGCACCGTGCAGATCAGGGCTATCAGGGGATGTAACATTGTGGGGTCACCCAGATCAGGGCTATCAGGGGATGTAACATTGTGGGGTCACCCAGATCAGGGCTATCAGGGGATGTAACATTGTGGGGTTTTATGTATTTTTAGGGTACTTTTGGGATGTTTTAGAAAAGTATGTTTTTTTCTGTACATGGAGATAATTGGATTAAATTAGTACAGTTCCTGATTCAATTATCTCCAAAGCAGAGGGGAGGGATTGTGTGTTTGTATATGGGAGTGTCATGCATTTAACCATTACTGTTATTGGTCTGTGACTTGGTGCTGCAGTTCCCCACAAGGTCCATGTGGAAGTGCACCTTGCATGGGGACTTGCATATAAGGCCAGTGGTGGCTGCCATTAAACAAGATGCTTAACACCTTCATGAAGTCTTGGCTCATGTTTGGGGGATTGAATAACTACATAACTCTGGGGATTGCCAAATCGCAATATTCCCCTGAGTATAATCACTTGCTCTTATAAGAGTTGTTCCTGCTACGCTCTCTGGACTAGGAGAGGTCTAGCCACTAGAAGCTGGATCCTGGTCTTGGGTCCAGGGTTGGTGGAGAATGGCGAGACCCCAACCAAGCTGTAGCAGCTCGTGGGGTTTATGGTGGTTATGGTG